CTTTTTGCGATTCTTGAAAGAACTTTGTCCAAATTCGAATTATGTTCTTCAATAGTTTTACCGATCACAAGAATATCGTCTATATATGCAATAACACCACGCAACCCTTCCAAAGCATCATAAATAAATCTTTGAAATATTTCCGGAGCTGACGAGATGCCAAAAGGTAGTCTTAAATAACGAAATCTGCCCCAACTTGTTGCAACTGTACACAGTTTTGAACTTTCAAAATCCAGGGGTATTTGTAAAAACGCTTGCGATGCATCTAGTAGTGTAAAATATCTTGCTCCACGTAATTCACTAAAACGACAGTCTATTGTGGGAATTTGAAAATTTTCACGTTTTATGTACACGTTTAAACTCCTGGGATCCATACAAAGCCGAATATCTCCATTTGATTTGGGTGCTATTACTAACGGATGGACCCAGTCTGTTGGTTCAGTCACTGGAACTATTATTTTTTCCGAGACCATTTCATCAAGTTTTTTCTTCACTTGATCTTTTAATGCTAAAGGAATTTTCCTTGCAGCGCTTATATGTGGTACAGCATCCTGCCTCAGTGTTATTTTATATGTTTTATTCACTTTACCTATACCCTTGAATACTCTTTTATGTTTATTCAGTATTTCCGGAACTGATAGATGGTTTTCCACATTATATATAGTTTTGTTAAGTCCTTTTTGCATTTTATTTGCATCAATTATTTGCAGTTCACTTGCAGCTTGAAGTCCCAAAATTGAACAAGCAGAATCGGATTGTAAAATATAAAATAACAGGTTTGATGTATGTTCGTTGATGGAACAATGTATCGATATTTTTCCTCGAATGTCTATTTTATGCCCCGAGTAGGACGACAAAGTGCTTTTTGTTTGCAGAAGTTCAGATTCGGAAATTCCAAGTTTCTTAAAATCACTGTGATTAAGTATATTTACTTGACTTCCAGTGTCAATTTTTAAATTAATTTGTACGTTATTTACTAATAACAATTCATACCATTCGATTGAATTAACACAGGAGTCATTTATTGTCCACACAATATGATATTCTTCACTTTCGTCTCGATTTTCTTCATTTTCACCACACTCTTCGAACTGTTCATTTTTTGCAACATTATGTACCAATTTGCTCCTACAAAATTTCCGATAATGTCCACGTTGCTTGCAATTAGTGCAGTAACGATTAACAGCTGAGCATTTATCTACATCATGTATATAACCACAATTCTTGCATCTATTACCTCTCACATTCATATTATTTCTACTTGTACTAGGATTACCACCATCATTTTGTCTCGTATACTGTTGTTCTACCTTATGTAACGGAGAATATTTGGTTTTGTTTGTATAGTTTGTTGTGTACCTATTAACTGCATACACTGAGGTATTTTGTTCTTTGTTCTTTGAAATTTCTTTTTGTGTAGTCACACTGTTCTCCCTAGAACGACAAATCTGAATAGCCTCTGATAATTTAAGGTCACAGTTTTGTAACAATTTTTCTTGAATGCGTAGATCACGGATTCCTATCACAAGTCTGTCACGTATAAGAACGTCTTTTTCCTTAAAATCACATGTGTTTGCAAGTTGTCGTAACGCTGTTACGAATTGATCCACAGTTTCTCCTGGATTTTGTTCACGTTTAAAAATTTAAAGTGTTCATACACTGTATTTTTGACAGGATTGCAGTACTCGTGAAATTTCTTCAAAACTATATTCAGTTTCATTTGATCTTCGTCCTCATTGTACTCAAAAGTATTGTAAATATGTAGACCTTCATCACCTAATAGATTGAGTAAGATAGCTATTTTTACTTCATCCGTTTTATTTGACTTTCCACTAGCCAAGGGATATAGCTCAAATTTCTGTTTCCACAGTTTCCACTGACTGGCAATGTCCCCTGCAAACTGCATTTCCTCTGGAGCTTTTGAATGTTCTGCCATTGTTGGTTTTTCCACCAAGATATTATTAAATAAACACTACTTTCTCCTCCGGTGTTCGGCTAATATCAGCAACAACACCTTACTTTTCAATATTTTTACTTTTTACGGCTGCCACCATATGATGTATTTATCTTTAATGACATTGACATACATACTAATTATATTAAAGTAACTAGATTAGTACATAATAATACATAATATGACAAGACCCATAAATTTTTTTGTATTTATTTGCGACCGTTTTGTCAACAACAGAAAAAAAAAACAGTTTTGTTTGAGCCCTTTTAAGGGCATATAACTTCCTAAGTGTGCGTTTTAGGGCACAGGAACTTTTTGGCTTATTTTAATGAATTATAAAAGCAGCAGAAGTTTGGAACCCTATTTTAGAAACACCCTGTATAAGGTAAATATTTACAAAATGGATTTTTCGGGTTAAAATCTGTTTTTATTTCTTTTACAGTAGAGTACAAATCATAAATGAACTAGAAGATAATATACAATTACATATAATGAAAATGCAAGGACAATACACTTACGAAGAAACACGCCTTTGTAACTGCAAAACCTGCACTGCAAGCTGCTACGTCACGCCGCCAATGTCTTTCTACCTCGGGTGCTGAATGTGTTTAACTCCAAGAAAGTGACGCAGGAGTCTTCTTGGAATTCTTTCTCAATAAATATCGTACGGACTATAACTGTTTATTTGTTTGGACAGATATAGTGTGTCCTGAAACGAATGGACTGTGCTATATGAGATAGCTTCTTTGGTTAAAAATGAACTGACTTTTTTTTACTAAATTTGTAAATAAATTAAATGTTTGTTTACGATGTAGCTAACTTACGCCCACTCAAGAGTACAATCGGAAGGGGCATTTTCGGCAAGCGGAAGAAATATCTTTCATCATAACCTATTTACTTTTAACTTTTTCATGTCTGCCTGAAAATTAAAATTGTCTGGACAATTTAAGTAAAGAAAGCAAGTACTCTTGTTTCATATCTGTAAAGTTAACTGTTTTCTAGAGCAATAAATTTATTAATGCGCCCGCGAAAGATGTGTTTACTATTGATTTAGCATTAAAAATTTCCAGTGTTATTAATTTATATTATGTATGAATAAGAAATCGTTGTCAAATGGTTAGTCCAGTAGTTGAAAGTTTGTGTGCGAATGGGGGCGGCATATTTATATTCGGAAAGCATTAGCATGGTAAGTTTTATCAGTGCACTATCAGCGTTGTCAGTCGTTACGTTTTTAAAACAACTGTTACAGACAATGGAAAGTAATTTATTAAATTATTATTATTATTATTACTAATTATTTTAAAGTCACCATATTTTTTTTGTACATCAATGTGGACGAAGGGCCGATCATTAAAAAACAATCCAATTGTTTTAAACAAATACTTTTTTTAATGATTTATTAAATATTAACTAACAAAATTAAGTTGTTATTACAAACAATTAGGTGTACTATTTTTTAAGGTGTATTTATTTAACTTGTGAACCTCAGTGTCAATGACCTCTGACACTGACTTGGTTTAACTGAACTATATGTGTATTACTGTCGCTACGTAAAGTGGATAGGAACGCATTTTAGAAAATTGAAACAGGTAATATTAAAAAGTTATAAAGTTCTAAACAAAGTACTTATTACTTATTCAGCCGCTTCAGTCGGTACTAGATATATTAAATTAATCCAAAGTAAACAAAATAGCAACAAAATTATATCGTGAACAGTCTAAATTTAAGCAGAATCTATTTGCCAAGTGTGCATATACTAACGCGTCCCGTTGGTTGAGGTCACACTAGCTGGTCCAGCGGTGGGGTATAAATCTCATACCCCACCGCTGACTAAAGAAAAGGTTACAAAAATCAGTTTTCACGACGAAATCTGAGAAAACAAGCTTGTGATACGTGCTTCTAAAGGTCAAAGGAAGCGTTCGTATAACTATGACCCCCATTCAAAGTTACACCCTGTATAGTCCGTTGAATGTAGTACCAAGACTTGGTTGAACTTTTGATATGTGCTACGGCTTTCACGTGGTATTTAAGGAGTTCGAGAATTTCACTGTTAAATTTGAAGGAATACTCTAAACGTGAAAATGAGAAAAAAAGTTGCTAAAATGGATACTACGGCCATTTTAGGGATAAGGTGAAAATAAACAACATGATAAAAATGCGTACTACCCTCGACAAAAATGCCCCTTTTGAATCGTATATGCATTTACTTTAACGACAATTTTACAATTTAACACGGATCTGCAAATCTTTGTCATAAATATATTTTGTTAAGTTGTAGCAAAATAAAAATCTTTTTAATTTAACACTTAAAAGGTTGTACGTCCCTGTTAATACATCTTAGAGGGTATGTTCAAAGGAATACTTTGTCTTATTTGGACTGGTATTTTCAATCCTCGAAGCACTATTTTTTGGCACCCTATATATATTTTTCTCTAATTGCAATAGTATTTATTATCACAATTTTTAAGAAATAGCAAATCTGTTGATAAATAATGATAAAAATATTGATAAACACCGAACTGTTCTTTCAAACAAAAAAAATGTCGGAAGTAAATCGAGAAGAAATTATAAAAATATATTATTTATTACATTTTATACAAAATTATTGCTTTTAAAAAACAATTGAAAACATGAAAACCCATTAAAATTCTATATAATCACACGTTGAATATACAGGGTGATTCACAACTTATCCAAAAAAATTGGGAATAGATGCAGTGTGAGAAATGGAGTCAATATCGTAAAAAAAATATTTGTAAAATCCTTAGTTTCCAATAGTCTCCGAGAAAAAATTATTGAAGTTGTAGTACATTCAACCATTACATAAGTGGACAACTGTAGTTTCTAGCGTCATTCGCAATACGCGTGGAAAGCCACGTGGCCTCAGCGACTCCGAATACTGAAATCCGATTTTATAATCGTTGTTGTTGCGATAGTGTTTACTGTGGTGTTTACAATAGTTTTTTAGTAGTTAGTATCAAAAATGGCTGCGTGTATAGCAACTCGGAGTTGATGGATATCGTTTTAATTTAATGGTGAAGCAAGACAACATTTGTATTATGGTGAAGTATTTGTGTTATGGTAAAGCAAGACAACATTTGTGTTTACACGTCGATGGATAAAATTTTGAACAGTCGTTGTAACATCAGGTATGTCAAATTATTTTATTATTTAAAACCACAAATTAATTTTATTAATTAATAATAACAATAACGGCAAAAGCAGTTGAATTTGCTGATATAAAATAGGTGCTGTAAAATTCTATTTATTTCTTGCCTTGCGAAAGTTTTTGTCAGGTCAGGTTTTTTTTTTTGATAAGTTCTGAATCATCCTGTATATTTTATATTGGCAGGACGGAGCGAGTTAAATAACTGATAAATGATTGCCGAAATATTTTTAATGGATATATATTAAAAGCACTTTATCATGTGACAAATTAATTTTCTCATAAATTAGAAATAAATTTTATAATATGTCATTTACANCGCTAAATTTTGTATAAAATTATTGCTTTTAAAAAACAATTGAAAACATGAAAATCTATTAAACTTCTACATAATCACATGTTGAATATACACGGTGATTCACAAATTGTCCAAAAAAATTGGGAATAGATGAGGTATGAGAAATGGAGATATTGATATCGTAAAAAAAATGTTACATAGCTGGACAACTGTAGTCTATAGCGTCATTCGCAATACGCGTGGAAAGCCACGTGGCCTCAGCGAAATACTGAAATCTGATTTTATAATCGTTGTCGTTGCGATAGTGTTTACTGTGGTGTTTACAATAATTTTTTATCAAAAATGGCTTGCGTGTATAGCAACTCGGAGTTGATGGATATCGTTTTAATTTAATGGTGAAGCAAGACAACATTTGTGTTTACACGTCGGTGGATAAAATTTTGAACAGTCGTAACATCAGGTATGTCAAATTATTTTATTATTTAAAACCACAAATGAATTTAATTAATTAATAATAACAATAACGGCAAAAGCAGTTGAATTTGCTGATATAAAATAGGTGCTGTAAAATTCTATTTATTTCTTTCCTTGCGAAAGTTTTTGTCTGTTTTTATCACACTTTGCCGCCATGTCGGTCGCATTGTGCGAGGTTAGGTTTTACAGTGGACCAGTTTCCAGTACCGTGCAGAAGTGATTTTTAAATCATTTTCGAACTGCCCGTTTTGATTTTTACTTTACAAAATTGTATTTGTAACTGTACGTCCAAATTTTTATTTTTTTTGATAAGTTCTGAATCATCCTGTATATTTTATGTTGGCAGGACGGAGCGAGTTAAATAACTGATAAATGATTGCCGAAATATTTTTAATGGATATATATTAAAAGCACTTTATCATGTGACAAATTAATTTTCTCATAAATTAGAAATAAATTTTATAATATGTCATTTACAACTTTATAATTACAATTAAACAAGGTTCAGTTAGGAGGTCCAGCTGGTTTATTACACCTAAGTAATTCAATAAATCATCAGAATTGAAGAATATATCCAAAATATAATGATTCTGGTTAAAATAGGTACATAACCATTAATATTTAGTCACAGAGTGAATAAATTCAGGTAGGTTATGTATACCTATATAACCCTTCCCAATTCCAGCTGTTTAACATATAGCTGACGTTAATTTAGTGACACTCTAGAGACAAGTATTGAATTTGCTTAGTAAATCAACTTTATGTATTGATTAATGAAAAAATATAACAGGTTACAGGTAGCTATATTTCTCTGATAATATTTAGAGAGTAGGTTGCTTTTCAATAAGTACCTGTCTAATTTCACCAATTTTTTTATAGTGATTATTTATCATCATTTTTTTATTAGATTTTATAATGAAAAAATGATTAGTCTTCAATTGAATGAAACTGACGGCAAGTAACCAATTTTATATAATGTTTTAATTTTCCGGATCCACATGTTTTATGTTCACAAATACCTAAGTATACACAGACAAAACTAAA